CATGTCTATGATTTGTAAGTGGATTTATGGACATTAATTCAGGGTGAACATCAGAGGTAATCATGTCCTCAAGAAGTGTAAGTCATGGCCACGACTGTAGTTCTAACTGCTGACTGTGTTGGTGAGCTGTCAAATCAGCAGCCAAACAACTTGTTGTTTTTACAACATCTGCTTGCACCTTTTCTTTTCACCTCACTCGTTGATGTTTAAAAAAAAAAAAAAAAGCTTCAGTTACAAAACACTGACATCAGTATCGGCCTGAAAACTCTGATATGTGTGGGGCTGTAAACAGTGGTTGACTGAGATGGATTTTTCAATGGCCAAAGCCTATACTTAGAGAACAGGGCGACAGAGGGCTGATATAGTATAAGGCCCATATCAAAGGAAAGTCATATATAATTCCATTATTCCATGCACAATAGAATCTAATATACATGGTTAAGTTAGCCAGTCACATGTTGTTTTAGATGGAATTTTTATTAATTAATGAAATATAAAAACACATTGGGAACTGTTGGGTCTCTGTAAGTAGTCCAGAGCTGCTCTATTTGAAAAGTGTCCTGGGATAATTTTTGTTATGAATTGGCACTATACAAATACAACTGAACTGAATTGAATTTGGTTATGTTGTAGATTTGTGAACATGACCGGTATTTCATTCAACAGCATTATTTTTAGGTTTAGAACATTTAGGAGAAAAGTGTTAACAATACTTACAGAGAATTCACATCAGGTGGATCAAGAGTGGCTCACACTAAAGAGTCATCCACCATTGCCTGAAACCTCCTCCCACAGTCACCAATGTTAAGGCTTAGGGGGAGCTCGAGGGCCCAGTCTGATAATTATTGTAACATTCAAACTGACATCACACCAAACTTTAGAAAGCAAGCTGAAACTGAACTTCTGTCTCAGCTCTCTCTCTCTTTCACTACTTCTGTCACTTTCCATGTGAACAACCCAGTGCGACGCTATGAATGTCTTTAAGGAGAGACAGTGCGAAAGTGTGCACTGTTATTCTGTACAGGATGGTGAAGTGTGGCTGTGCAGAACAGTAATAAAAACTTGACTCTTTGCAAAAACTAGTTCATTTGAAGCACACTGAACCCATAAATTGGGGCAGTTTGATGTGATTCCTTATAGTAAATGTAATGGTGCAGAATTCATTTTTAGAAAACTTTGTAGCTTAAAAAGGTCCAGTGTGTAACATTTAGGAGGATTTATTGTCAGAAATGGAATATAATCATAGGTATGTTTTCATTAGTGTATTACCTGAATATAAGAATTACCTTAGAATGAGCTGTTTTAATCGACAGAGGGAGTGGTTCCTCTTCTACAGAGTCAGCCATATTGAACCGCCATGTGTCTACAGTAGTCCTAGAATGGACAAACCAAACACTGGATCTACATTGGGCCTTTCGCAGGAGGATGAGGCGACACTAAATCCTACACACTGGTACTTTAAGCATGGGTGAATTTAGTTTGTGGCACTTTAAAAATGACATTTTGAAATGTACTAAGCAACATCTCTTAAGGACTATTTCATCAGCGAAAAGTGGTCCCAAAAAGAAACTGACAGTAAGGTCACTTACACTTTTTGGACGATGTTACAGTTGAATTTATTAAAGATTTTTTCTTTACACTTTACTCACCTCAAATGAAATTCCTGGGGTCTGATTTAGACTACCTTTGGGGACACATTTAAAAGACCAGTTAATTGGGGATGGCTTTTCCAATTGGGGACGGCTTTTCCAATTGGGGACAAAAGCAATGTCCCCAGTCGTGGTTTTGGTTAGAGTAAGTCCAGGTCCAGGAAATGTCTATGTAATGTTCCCAAAACTGACACAAGTAAACATATGAGTGTGTGTCAGGTTGGACTAGTCCCAAAAGCTCAATCCCTAAAAGAGGATCTCACCAGTCAGAGGAGATAAGGATTTTACACCAATGACTTTCAAGAGGCAGACTGCTTCCTTTTTATAGTCCTGCATCAATAAATATTCAAATGAACACAGCAAGAGGGAAAGTGAGACCAAAGCCCTCTTTGTAAAGTGGTTAACTGTGTCTGATTGGAGGCACGGAGCTAACTATGGTCCCTGGGCTGTCTCATGCATCCTAATTCTCTGATACAGTTACATGTTACATTTTTATATATTCAATTCAATTAAATTTT